TATCTTTATCTTTTAAATCTTATTGTTATGTAGTCTTTCAAGATAGGGCTAGTGGTGTTCCTTGCAAATAGGGGCAAAATACTGGAAAAGCAGCAGTGGTACATTTTTTACAGTGACATTTATGCGTGCGTTTGTGTATGCACGAGGCATTGTTAGAAATGCCTGTATGTTTCACGTGGGGTCTATTTCATTTGTGCGGTAGAACTTGGAAAATGCAGTTTCATGCTTTGAGTAATAGTGACCAGGAGTTAGAGGAGGCCTTAGTTTCCAGTACTGGTGGAGTACAGGTATTCAGAGAACTTGCTGGTTACTCCTCAAAGGGGTGACTGATGTGCTGAGTCCTTATCTACATTTGCCAGAATTGAGGCTGTCATCTAGCGCAGTTGATGTCTCTGTTTTTGAAAAGAGATATGACGGTAGTTGATCCCATCGCTATCTGGTGCAGAAGTTTTGAAGATGAGCAGTGGGTCAGAGAAACCAAACCAAACAAGCTGTTTGAACCAAACTGCGTTGCTAGCTGAAGGGGCCTGATAGTGACCAAAGTGACAGATGTTTGGCGTTGCTTTCCTGAATTTTATTTCACTGCTTTTAGCCATTAACTTGGTCAACAGCAGCACTCACTGGTAAAAACAGGAACAACAGACTCCAGTTTTCTTATTAGCTCTTATAGTGCTGTTCTCTCTTTTTTCTTTCCCTTCTCTTCTCTTCCTTCATTTGTTCTTTCTCTCTCTCCCTAAGCTCATTTGATTTTATAAGATTTTTTTAATTCCAAAAGAATAATAACATATAAAGAGAAACTTGTTAACTTTCCTCTTCATCGTCCCCAATGTCATCCTTCTAAAGAAATCAATAATAACATTTTGGTTTGTATCAACGGTTCTTCCTTTGCTCATGCAAATAATATATGTATATAGAAAAATTTATTTGTTTAAATTTTTATAAAAGTGGACTCATGCTGTATACAATATCCTGTAACTTTCTTTATTATCCTGACACTATTTCATGGGCATCTCTCCAAATCAGTGCATTTAGCTAAAAATCATTATTTTTAATGGCTGCGGAATATTTCATAGTATGATTTTATCATAATTTATTCACATAATCCTGTATTGATTGATTCAGATTGTTTATAGACACCCCTCTCCAAAAACAAATAGTACTTATTTTAACTGCATATTTTTTTGAAGCCTTTTCCAAACTGTGTGATATTTGAAGAGGAAGGTTAAAGGGCTTCTAATTTTTCATTTTGCTTTTATTTATTGCTTTACATTTTCATCTGATTTTATGAGCTTAAGTCTTTAGCTTTTCTAATTTGCTAATTTATCTCTTGGAATCTTTGCATTTTGGCTATCTTCGCTATAATGCAGGGTTTCTCAACCTCGGTGCTATTGTCATTTTGGGCCAGATAGTTCTTTGTTGTGGGGGCTGCCCTGAGCACTGTAGGGAGTTTAACAGCATCCTTGGCCTCTACTCTAGATTCCGGTAGCCTACCAACCCCCACCCCCTCAAGTATGACAATCAAAAATGTGTGCAGGCACTGCCCAATGTTCCCTGGAGGGCAAAATCCCCCTGGTTGAGACATGGCTATAACGTATAATGTCTATAAAGCATATATTTAAAAATCCAGTTATGTGGCAGAAAATCATTTTTCTTGTATATTCATCTATACTTGAAAACATGAGTTTAATGTATCATAGTATTATTAGAAATGAATCTCAATATTAGGTTCCAAATAATGAACCTCAGTTAGCTCATGTATACAAGACAGCATTGGAATCTTCTTTAGGTTTTGGTGTCATACTGGTGCATTGACACAGGGTCCCCGTTTGTAAGCTGTGCTATCTTTGTTTTTTTCTTTTTTGCTGAGGAAGATTCGCCCTGAGCTAACATCTGCTGCCAGTGTTCCTCTTTTTATATGTGAGCTGCCACCACAGCATGGACACTGACAGATGAGTGGGGTAGGTTCGCGCCTGGGAACCAAACCTGGGCCGCTGAAGCAGAGCGTGCCGAACTTAACCGCTAGGCAAACTGGGGCTGGCCCAAAGCCGTGCTATCTTAATCGTAGTTTGGATATTTCTTGGCTGTGGTTGGGGCAGCACCTACTCAAATTAGACAAGCGTGAGAATGAGACGGGAGTGCCATTTGAGTCTTACATTGTTTTATTCTAATGGGATTCAGGCACTTCTTGTAGTGCACATAGTCCTGCCCATGGCACTCCAGATAGTTCAGGTGTGTAGGAGGCAGTGGCACCCGGGTAGCCAACCACCTGCTGCCCCTCCTCGTCTCTCTTCCTCAGGGTCTCCCCAGCTTCTCACCTTGGGCAAAATAGCCCCACTTGGGAGGATTTTTGGGGGCCTCCCCACTTTCCACATATTCTGTAATTTTTTTCTGCAAAAAAGATGCGTTGTGTAATGATTTAAGTAGCTTCACATTTTACAACTGACTGTTTGTGGTTGATTTGTTTAATTAATAGGGTATGTATTATCATATCTGAGCAAAGCTGGGCATCAGGCCCTTAATCAGAAATTGTGGTCCCTGATCAAAGCGTTGTTTTTTGTATTTTTACAAAAAGTCAGATGGCCTTGTGTTGATTGGACTTAGTGCCTTTTTCAAGTGGGTGACTGTAAAGATTACTGATGTTTCTATGGGCTGGGCAATAAGCCCATAGGCATCTCTCTTCTTTTGCCTTAATACTGAGCTAAGATGATTGAGATTTGATTGTCATGTCCTTGGTTGTCATTTTAGTTTGATAGGTTTGTTGTCAAAATAATCGGCAAACATTAAAATTTACGTGCATTTAAAAAAATAGTTATGTCATTTAGGCTGCTTTGCATTTGTGATATATTTATTTACACACACACACACACACACACACACACATGCATGTAGCTACTACCCACATCAAGAATTAGAACCATTGCAGCACTGTAGAAGGTTCTCCTATGTCCCTCTCAGCCAGTAACTATCCCCCAAAAGAAACCATTAGTCTGACCTCTATCACTCTGACCTAGTTTTACCTATTCTTGAACTTTATGTAAATGGAATCATTTGTATTTGTTCTATTGCCTCTTTTTAAGAAAGCCTGATATAGAACACTTCCAATTAAAAAAAAATACAGAAAATTATGTAATTACTCTTCATATTACAAAAAGCTCACTTTTGGTTTTAAGAAAATAATGAATTTTCTTACCTCATTTAAAAATCAATCTGTTCATAAAATTTAAATACATGGCTAGTATTTCAAATCAATCTTACATATTTTAAAAGCATATAAAATTATAAAAATATAATACACATTTTTAGACTGTTTGTGATTTCTCATTATTTTTGCTCATGTGCATACCATACCAAGTTATGTAGAGCAGAGGTCCCTTCCATCGTAAAGCATATAAAATCTGTTGTTAGGAAGCAAAATTTTAATTTGCTGTTGTTATTTTTGAAGATTGGGTTTAGTTGTTATTCCTTTGAAGAGTATGGCAATTATTCTTTTCGGTGGAAAAAGGGGATATGATCTGACAGGAATTTTTTTTTCCGTGCCTGTGAGGAATCTTCTGCAATAGTTTTCCAGGTAGTAAAACTTTAGTGCTGTTTGGATGCCCTGTAGTTTGTGAATCTGACAAGCAACATCTCTTTGGGGTAGTTGTGAAACAAGACTTGGGACAGACTGACTTGTTACTTAGTCCTCATCTGTTGCCTTGACAACAAACTAAACATTTCAAAATACTGGGGCAGATGCCACAAACAAGTGATGCTTAGGGGTTAGGGCGTTACAGCAGAAGCACCGAGACCACGTTTAGATGATAAAGGTGCCGAAACCATACCCATTTAATAGGAGAATTTTATTGTAGGTTTTCTGACTCTAATATAAACTAAATGCATTAGCAAAGAGAAAATTTTCTGCTTTAAGTTTACAAATTATTTTTTAATAGCAATATGAAACAATTTGCACTGTATTTTAGTCCAAAGGATATACCTCTAATAATTTGGCTTTCATCAAACCAATTTAATACCACATGTTGCCTGGGTGGCAATATTGACAAATCATATAAATGAACATTTATTACAGCATCTATTCTATTATACTAAAGATCATTCATTAAATAATTTTGGGGAATGAATAAATTGTAGGAAAAAAAGGATTCTTTTGGCCAAACAGGAAGGATTTTCTGTTTTGTTGGACTCAATGGGAGGGGGAAAAAAGATCGTGTTACAGCATTAGATATTTGAAGGGGGGCACAGGTTATGATAGCTGAGGAATTAGGAATTCAGGGAGCCTCTTTCACTGTTTTCTGTTTTCTTGAATTCTCGTGGTCTAATATCGTTCTCTTTGGTTGTAAGTGACATATATTTTCAGTCCTGATTTTGAAATGCTGATACTTTCACTATACATTTAGTGAAAAATAGTATGATTCTTCATAGATGACTTGAGTGTCACAGTCATTTTTTCTGCCCATTTTGGTGGAAATCCTCAATATTTTTCATCTCTAACCGAGGTTATCTTTATGAGCTGTCAGGGGTGTGGTGACAGAAGAAGCGATACAAATCTGGGACTCCCAGTGCTGTGGGTCAGAGATTACAGTAAAAATATGAATGCTGATTTCAGAAACAACATGCGTTTTAGATTTTACCGAGGGCTTTACCGATTACAGATAAAGTGGTGACTCATAGTTTTAGTTTTTAATTAATCAGCATCCTAATGAAAAAGGAAGAACCCTTCAGAACTTTGTCTTCGGTGAGTCCAAATCCCAGTTCTGTGACTTTCTGAGCTGGTAACATTTATGTACTCATTTTATTCCTGCAACTGACCTGGCCCTGCCTCAGTTTCCCCATCTGTAAAGTGGGGATGCTGCTACCCATATGACACAGTTTTTGGAGGATTAAAAGCCCGACTGATTTTAAACAGTAGGAGCATAGTTCCTGGCTTGACGTTCATTGATATTTTTATTATTTTTATGGTAAGGAAACAATGTCATATTGGTGAAAACTGGGCAGATAGATTTTATTCAGTTCCTGTTGTATCACATGCCAGCTGCATGGGGTCTTGGCTAGGTGATTTAAGTCACTTAACTGCCTCTGATTCTCAGTTTCCTTGACTGCAAAAATGGGAATCCCAATATTTACCGTTCAAAGTGTAAGGAAAAAAGATACTATATTTAAAGCAGGGGTCTTGGCATGTAATATGCATTCAGCAAATGACAGCTGCTGCTGTCATTATCACTTTTATTTTTATTTGGTTATATCTACCTTGCAAAATTTTTGCTGCCTTTTCCATAGCCTAGCTACTATCATTTCCCCCTGGATTATTGTAATAGCCTTTTAACCCTACTCCCCCTGTTGGTGTAAAGACCCTACATGATCTGGCCTTTGCCTACACCCCTCCCCACCATTCTCCCACATTGTTTCCCCACAGTTCTTTCTGTGCTTCAGCCACCATGGACTTCATTTACTTCTTCAAATGCGTTCTGCTACTTTCCTGCACAGGGCCTTTGCATATGCTGTTTTTGTCAACTTGGAATGGTCCTGACTTCTTTTCATCTCCTCTTCTACCCCTTCACATCCCTACTCATCATATTAAACATCCATTGTACTTCACCTTAACTTTGCCTTGTACTTAACTTTAAGTCACTTGTTGTTTTACATTTTTTGTGTACTCATTTAATGACTTCTATATCACACCTAGACTGTAGGTTCTGACAGAGCACAGATAATGTCGGATTTAGATTACCATTATATATATCTTCATTTAGTTCCCTGCCACACTCTGTTGTGGGAGGGAGTGAATAAATGGATGAATGACTGCGATGGTGGTAGAAAGTGTCTGGGCAACGTTTGAGGAAATAGAGGAGGTTGTGGGGTGTGAGGTTCATCCCTGGGAGATGCATAGAAAGAAGACAGATTAGCTAATGGTCTGGCACTCCACGGAGGAAGAGTGGTGTGTTTATGCAGCAAGAAAAACTGTGCAAATGAAGAAATGCAGGGAGGAAGGAAGAAGCTTAGCAGGAAATAGTTGTGGAGTGTGGAAAGAGGAAATAGCTGAGAAGTGATTTGATAGAAAATTGTGCATTTATTTCCTCTGCTACAGTTCTTATTTTTCTGGTTTATGCATTTGTCACCTTTGTTCTATTTTTTTGTTTTGAGTCTGATTTACAGTATTCTCCTTTTCCCCATGTCTGTTTATTTATGCAGACAAACATATATACCAAAAATGAGCAAAGAAATGATGGCAGTTTAGCCTTTATTTTGTCCTCCTTTCCTAGGACAAACTCCCTCCCCTTTTCCAATTTCTTTCACTGTCTTATTATTTCCTCTGTCAAAAATACACTTTTATTTTCTTGTGGTTCTGTACTCTGAAATGAATTTAAATCCCCTTACCACGCTGCCTTTACCATTTCTCGTTGTTTAAAGCTTCTGCGTTGGCTTCTCTTTGCAGTTGTTCATGTCACTTAAATGAATGGGGAGGTTTTTCAGGGAAGAAACCTCTACGGAGACCACTGTCAGGGTGAGGTTCCAGGGGGTGAGGAACCAACCGTACATCTGTAAGTTTAGTGTTTCTCTTTTTCAGTCTCCAAGCTTTTCTTTTAGCATTATGTTAAATGAAGATGTAATTCATATAACATAAAATTCACCATGTTAAAGTGTACACTTCAGTGGTTTTTAGTATATTCACTATGTTATGTAATCATCACCACTGTTTAATTCCAGAACATTTCCATCACCCCAAAAAAGCCTTGTACCTATTAGCAGTTGGTCCCAACTTCCCTTTCGCCCACCCGCTGGCAACCATAAATCTATTTTCTGTCTTTACGAATTTGCTTGCTGAATATTTCATATAAATGGCATTATGCAACATGTGGCCTCTTATGTTCGGTTTCTTTCACTTAGCGTAATGTTTTCAAGGTTCATCCTTGTTGTAGCATGTATCAGTACTTCATTCCTTTTTATGGCCAAGTAATATTCCATTGTAGGGATATACTACGTTTTGTTTATTCATTCATTCCTCAGTTGATGGACATTTGAATTATTTCCCTTTTTGGCTGTTATGAATAATGCTGCTACAAATATTCTTGCATGAGTTTTTGTGTGAATATGTTTTCAGTTCTCTTGGGAATATACTTAGGAGTGGAATTGCTGGGACATATGGTAACTCTATGTTCAACCTTTTGAGGAACTTTAGACTGTGTTCTATGGCATTTGTACCATTTTACATCCCCACCGGCAATGTGCTGGGGTTCCCATTCCCAGTTTCTCCATATTCTTACCAGTGCTTGTTATTTTCATTTTTTTTTTATTATAGCCATTCTAGTGTGTGTGAAGTGGTCATGGTGTCTGACTTTATTTTTTATTTTATTTTATATTTTCGGTGAGGAAGATTGGCCCTGAGCTAACATCTGTAGCCAATCTTCCTCTTTTTGCTTGAGGAAGATTGTCCTTGAGCTAACCTCTGTGCCAATCTTCCTCTAGCTTTTGTATGTGGGATGCTGCCACAGCATGGCTCGAGGAGAAGTGTAGGTCTGCGCCCAGGATCCAAACCTCTGAACCCTGGGCCGCCGAAGCAGAGTGCGCAAACTTAACCACTACGCCACCGGGTCGGCCCCATGTCTGACTTTTTTAGTGGTGGTATCTGCTGGGGCTTGATTACTTCCTTCTCCTCACCGTCCCCCCCCCTCCCACCTTGTTCATTTAAAAAAAAGGGTATTATTCTTGTCATTTTTATTAGAACTGGATTTTGAAATGGGCCGTTTCTAGGATTAAGGGAATCTTGAATAGTATTTGAAATACTGCTTTGTGATTGGGAAACAACATGCTTAGAGAAAGTAACTGAACCAGAAAATGGCAGGTATAGCCTACAAATTAGGATTTATTCTACCAAACTAAACCTCAAGTAGATATTCTCATGTATAAATTATAGAAACCTATCATTTTCAGGAAAAAAGTCAAAAAAGAAATTTGGGTAATAAAAATTTGTATCTCTCTACGGTTTGATTTTTTTCCTTGTGAAGATTACTTTTCTTTAACTTTAAATGCTTATTCTTTATATGCTGTTACCGTGATGATTATTTACTTGTATAGTAATCTTGTACGATCCTTTAAATCCTGTAGAAAAAACTCTGCTAACATTAGCCAACTCTAGTTTTTATTCTGTTGTTTCAAGTGGATAAAGCATCATGGCTAAGGGCCCAGCATTAAGCAGCTTAAACAATTATAGATTCTTTTTCCTCCCATTCATTAAATGCAATTTAGTATTAAAAAAAATAAAATTACTCAACTTCAGTTGAAGTTCAGCTGTCTTAACCCCTTCTAAAATTCTGTATATGGCATTTTCATTGTAAACCTTGACAATGTCAAATCAATAACAATATATTTTTGTTTCTGTCTAATGTAAGATTACCACCATCACCCATAAACATGTAACCAATACTTCAATTATGTGGGGAAACTGTCTCTGATCTTTAGGAACTTACAGTTGGATACAGAGAGCATCGATGCCAGTAGATATCATGGATGGAAAGCATTTGCAGCATATACCAGGCAGGAGGAAGTCAGTAATTATAAGGATGGAAGAGGCAACTGGGAACTATGCTATATTTGACATGGGATTTTAAGACATCATTTCCATATTTCATATGCAGTAGGGAAACTTACCGAACTCTGATTATTCTGGGAAAAGAAAATTAGGAAAAATGTTGGAAGGAGATAGATGTTTGTTGAGGGCCCACTGGATGACAAGCTGTGTTCGGAGATTGATTGTAGAGTGTGGTGGGTGAGAGCTAGGAGTCTTGGAGTCAGGTGGCTTCAATACGAGTCTTGGCTATGACAACTCCTAGTTGTGTGATTATGGTGAAAGTGAGAGTACCTATGATCCATATGGTTGTTGTGTGGATTGGAGGGAACCAATTTAAGTAACTCCTCCATTCAGTGCCTGGCACACAACAGGCATGTGATGAATATTAGCCTTGTTGTCAGAATTGTTTGTAATTATAGTTATTTTATAATTATTACAACCATTACTTGAGGAAAGTGGTATTACACACATTTTTTGTATGAGAAAATGAGGCTAAAGTAATCAGGAGATTTGCCTACAGCAGTGGTTCTCACCTGGAGATGATTTTGACCCCCAGGAAACATTTGACAATGTCTGGAAAAACGTTTTTGCTTGTCACAACTGGGGGTGCAGGATAATACTGGCATCTAGTGAGTAGAGGCCAGGTATGTTACTGAACATTCTGCAACGCACAGGACAGCCTCCACAACAAAGAATTATCCAGCCCAAAAGGTCAGCCGTGCCAAGGTTGAGAAACCCTGGCCGAGAGTCGTGGACCTTCTAGGTAGAGGAGTAGGATTTGAACCAACTTTTCTGAGTCATACATTTATACTTTCCCCTTGAAACCATTTTGTTTCTTCATCAGAATCCAAGGAGTGAAATCAAGTTAAGTTTTTGACAAGTCCCTTTAAGATGGTCTTATGGCTTGAGACTCAAATATGGCTTCGTGGGAGAGTGACAAGCCAAATCCAGAGAAACTGAGGTGACGTGGGAGAGAACCGCCATCCATTTATTCTTTCACCGTTCATTCATGTATTGACTTGATATTCATATATTGATTCACGTGTTGATCATTAAGTCTTTAAATGCTTAGTGAGCACTATGTGCTAGTCGACGGTCCGTATTCTCATGTAACTTCTATTCTGCTAGCCAAGCATCGCTCAGAAATGGAAGTGCACATTTCTGAAATGTAACATAAGAAGTGAAAAAAATGATTCAGTGTACAAAAATCCGTTGTATGAAGTTGTCTAACTGGAACCCTCATCTTAATCTCTGTTCTTTTATTCATTGACTACTCAAATACATTTATGCCCTGGCATCGTCTTGCCAGGAACTGTGTCAGATCCTGGCATGGTATACTTAAGGAAATCTGACTTCTGTTTGTCTTTCCATAAACTCGTATATAGCTCTCAGGAAGAATTTGCAGTTCTATCATTCTCATTACCAGTAAAAATCTTTTCAGAAACGAGATGTATTGGTCTGTGTCTCAGACGACTTTTGGAATTGAGGTTAATGCTTGGGGAAGGAGGAATCTTCCTTGTATATTTACTGAGCCCTGTGGTTTACTTTTAATAATTATTTTAGTATGAGACAGTTTGCTGGGTTTTGTGGGAAGTATCATAAAATACCTAATTTCCCTCAACAAAAAATAAATGCTGGACTTATAAAAAAGGTTGGGATAGAGCAATTCTGTTTCTTTTTAAATGCATCTGTGCTATAGAAATTCTGTTAACGACAGATAGCAAGCGTGTACACACACCTCAAGAAGATAAATTGAAGGCCTTGATTCTCAACAGTTTTTGCTTTTATCCCATGAAAAAGTAAGAATTACTACTATTATTATTATTATGAACTTCATTGACCCAATAACTCAGGTTTTTTTTTTTTTTTTTTTATTAACCACAAATTTTCCCATAGTGAGGAAGAGGTAACAGTTTCCTTGGTGCTGGGAAGTCCCTTTCTTAGAAGTGTATATTCATCGTGGCTGAGTGAGGCTAATTTTTTTTTGCTTGCTTGTTTCTGTTCTTATCTACATAGAAGAAAGAATCTGTGAGGCAGAGGTACACTGTGCTGTACATAAGGAAAAACTGAGTCAGCAGCACAGAGCACGGCTTCACTGGTCACTCCTGCATAGTCCGAACTGTTTGAACAGTTCAGCTGTACATGCACAGAGCAGTTTAATTCCTTCACTGTGGAACAGCCAACTCAACGATCTTTCTGAAGTTCTAAAAATACATAACCATTTGTTATGACAGATAGTATAATATTCTTTTTCTTGATCAATTTTTGCCAGTTTGCTCTGTCTCCCCTTGTCCCGCTAACATCAACAATGAATCTCTTTGAACCCTTTCCACACTTTTGGGGTTCAGGCCTCCTTTTTATTCTGGCTTCTTCCCCCCTTTCCCATTCTTTACCACCTACCTTTTTCTTCTGTGATTCTTCCATGCCCAACATTTAACAAAATTTTATGGTTAAATCTCTTTTAAAAAATACTTTAGCTAGCACTTGATACTATTCTTGTGTTTATTCTTTTAACTTGAATTTTGGAAAGTTTATGTACACAAGTGCAATTAAGAGTTGATAGTTTCAAAATGTGATTTGCTCTTGTGATATGTGAGAGCAAGATTTTTTATTTGGCCCTAACGCATATGCTTTCAACTTCTTTTTGTTTTGCTTTTCAAGAGCTTCTGAAGGCTCTCTGAAGGGCCCCGTGGGGCAGAGACCATCCTCAGTGAAGGAGTGCTGAGTGCAAGGAAGTTGTGGGATGTTGGCTATATGTGGAAGGCCAGCATGATGCAGTCCTAAGACTTCACCATGCGGAATCTTGGCCCTTGAGTTTGAAAAGCTGTAAAACAACTTTGTTCTGCTTATTAGAACAATGAAACCACATTAGGGTTTACATGGAGGTCACACATCTCTAATACATGTGTGCTGCTAATGGTTCTAAATCTACTTTTTGAATAAAGCTTGTCATTTTCTGGATGTTTTGTAGAGACAGATGTTAGAGGAATCATTCTCTGACTTTTCATACTTGTTCTATTTAAACTAACAGGAAACTGAGTCTATAATATGACATATTTCATCTTGTAACTTTTTGTGACCTTATAATTTCCTTTTGCCTTCTTAGCTAACCAGTTCAAATTAGAAAAATAATTTGTCTATTGCCACATGTTTCTTAACCTCCTCTCCATTTCTTCCCCATTTGTAATTTTTGGTTCTTTAATAATTTAACATCTATTCACTATTTTAACTAAAATTTTGATGCTAACTTGATATTTTAAAGATATTCTCAGCTAAAAACAAGAAGCTCTGTATAGTCCCCTCTAGCTTTGATTAATTTGTTTTCTTTTTCTTAGGTGGAGGGCAAAAGAGGGTGAGGCCTTCTCTGACCGCCTGATGCTATACCAGATTACAGCTACCTATTGATTTCTTTCATAGCGGTTAAGAACATCTTTGATCATGTAGCCTAATCATTTACTTATTTGCTTATTTATTGTCATCTATTCCACTAGACTGTATGTGTTATAAGGGCAGGAAGAATGTTAATTTTAGTCACTATACCTCAATACTTAAAACATTCATGATATACAGTAGACAGTCAATAAACATTTGATGAGTGAATAAATGCATTTTTAGAAGCATGGCATATAAAGTTATTGTAATTTAGTCCATTTAATGTAAACTAGTTCTTTGAAAATCTACCTTGCAAAGTGAATTTTAGGTGCAGGGTATCTGTTTGTAACACTAAACTTAGTTTTTTTAAACAGAGATTTATTTTACTATTCTTTTAACTGAGAGATTTTTTTTTAAATGAGGAATTGATAATAAAAAAGTTCTTAACTTTGAGGATCAAGAGCCAATTTATAATTTGAAGCTAAAGATCCTTTCCCCAGAAAAATATATTTAGTCCATTATAAATTGTGCATATAACACTGAGATTTATGGACCTTGAACTCATATGCTGAGAACTCAGTCTTTTTTCTCTGAGGCTTTGTGTAAAGAACAAAACTCGTTTCGTTTAAAGATGGAGCTCTTGTGCTTAAAACTCTGTGAGCCTACGGACTTGTAATCAAAACCGCAATTATTGTTAGATTGGTTCCATGTGTAATTAAGACGGGAAAAAATACAAGCCAGTAAAATGAGTAATGCAAGGAAATTCTGATGTGCAGCTTCCTTTTGAAGAGGATTTTACACATTCATCTCTGTCTAGTTCTCTTGAAGATTGTCTTGGCCTCATAGATTGTTCTGAATTTTCAACCTAAGGAAAACAATTAAAATGATCTGCCTTTTCTTGGGGAAGCTCCCCAGGAAAGTATTTCTGGCTGGGCCAGATTCTCTCTTAACTTACGTGATATCCCCCAGCATGTTGGTGGGCTTCTTTTATTTCAAATTTCAGTGGTACACTGTAGCTCTCTGGAACTATGTTAGGGATGACGTAGCACACCTCAGACCTGAGGAACGCTTGCGTGTTATTTTATTGCCTTGAGCAGTCTTATGGATCTCTTTCTTCTTCGTCTGAGTAGTGGGGAATTCAGAACTATAGTTAGGAAATAGTTCGCCTGAACTATTATTGCTTTGATGGAATTAATGATCAAATATTGGTTAGTGCCCAAAGCAGATATGTGTTCTGTGCTTAATTTTACACTTCCCTTTCAAAGACAGTTGTTCAACAAAGGGCTTTTATATTGATGAAAGCCAATTAATAAGTGGAAATGTAATTTAATTTCTCCTCCACCTATGGTTGAATTTGATGAGTCTTGCTTGTCTACAATGACATATAAACAGGCGACACTTTTGTTTGTTAAGTGTAATAATTAAGGCAGAACACTCTTTATTGCACTTCTGTGCTGGATAAATCAGTTTGATACCTTTATTTGGGTCAAAGTGTTCTTTATACAGCCTTTGCGGTACTGACCTCATCGAAGCAGTTAATCTTCCAGTGACCCATTTGGGAATAATATGGACACAATGGTGCTTCTCTAGCGTTGATCTAAAGTATTGTGTATTTAGTAACTAAGCTTAGCTATTCTAAATGCCAGAGACTGTTAAGAGTTGGCTATATATTTGATGGTTCTCTTTGTTTAGCAGTTTGGTATTTTGGAAAGCTACTTGGTAGATCTTTTTTTTTCTTCTTGATATGATTATATATAAAATTAGATTTTATACTCGTTAATCATTCAATCAATATTTACTGACTACTTTATATAGTTGCTATAGCAGTAGTTACTGGGGATTCAATGATGAACTAAAATTAGGATAACCATAAGTGTTCTAATCTAATCAGATACCTTTGAGAGTCAAAGGTGGCACTCAATAATTATTTTGGGACAACAGATGTAAACTGGACTGTTCCAGGAAAATTGGGATGAGTGGTCACCGTAGTTAAAGCAGCTGTGGTCTCTGTCCTCATGGAGCTTGCAGTCAATGGAGGGGACAGAGATTAATCCAATAATCAGATAATGAATACCAATTTACAGCTGTAAAAAATTATGAAAGACCATATAATCAGGGGATTATGGGGTTAGGGTCATGGGGTTAGGGTCATGGGGTTAGGGAAGGCCTTCCTAAGGAGGTAAATTTTATGCTGAGATCTGGAACAAGGGTTGTAGAGTAAGAGGAGAATATTTCAGAAGGAAAAAGAAGGTGCAGAAAGCTGTGGGGTGGGAAGGGCATATGGTGTGTCCAGGTGACTGTGAGAAGACCAGAGTGAGTCAAGCACAGACCTCAGTGCAGAGCATGGTGTGGGGTGAGGCTAGGAAGCTCCACACCACGCAGGACTTTGACTACCCTGGAAAGGATTTAGATCTTTACACTAAAGGAAATGGGAAGCCATTATAGAAGTTAGAGGGAGGAGGGGATAAGTAGGTAGGTGGGTCACATGATCAGATTTGGTTTTTGAAAAGATCATTTGGGTTGCAGTGTGGAGAAGAGATTGAGCAGGGATGGGTGGGGTGAAGCAGCGCTGAGGGCAAGAGTGAATCTGGGGAGAGTGGTTAGTTTAGCTCTTGTGTTAGTCCAACCAAGAGACTATGGTGACTTTAACTAGGGTGGTAACTAACAGTGGAATTGGAGCAAATGGATGGGTTTGAGAGGTATTCAGGAGCAAAACTCAAAGGACTTGGAAACAGAGTGTTATGGGGAATGAAGGGTGTTTCAAATTCTTTTGTGCCTACTTGTAATGATATACAGTTCTATTGTGCAATGAGCAGAAACCACAGAACAGATAGAGCTAGCTTTCCTGACTTCTGAGATAGTCCCTAAGTGACTGGAAGTAGTTTCTGAGAAGTCAGAAACTTAGAACATATCTTAACTGTTCGGTAGAGTGTAGTGGAAGAATAGCATAAGGAATGTATTGGGTGTCGGGGAGAGTACAGCTTTTTAAATTCTTGTGCAAGAGTTGAACTGTGGTATGATCCCAACCAGTATTGCTGTGTCATTGATTTCTTACCCTGATCTCTCCTCAGCCTGTAGGGCAGCATGGCTAAGGTATCATTTAGGATGCCAGAACAATAATTTTCTGAATAATACCCTGGTGCATTGAAGGGGTTAAGGTAAGGATTCCCAGTTGTTTTGTCTATGATGAGGATGCATCTTAGACATTGGGCTCAACTGGTTTATCACAAGGTTCTTTTATAAGGCTGTTGCTCGTATTAAAGCATGATGTAATGAGCTTACAAATTAAAAATAAAAACCCACAGGGTCACGTGAGTGTGTATAAACACCAATGAACTAAGTATATCTTTCTTTGTAGAACATAATGTTGTGGGTAGAGATTTTTGCTTTTGCACATAGCATAGCATCAGGCTAACATTGGTATTTAAATATTTGCCAAATGATGAAATATTGTAGTTTACTTCTTTCCTACACTCTGGATTCTTGTTTCATTCATTCTGTCTTTATTACTGATATGGTACGCACACTTTTTAGCAACAGTCGAACCAGGCCTATCTCTGGGACCATCTTGCAATCTTAGTTCAGATACTGTACTAAGAACCTCAAAATTTTTATTAACATATATAAAATTCTGTTTACTCCTTAGATATAAAATATCAATTTTAAGGCATTCTAAAGTTCTTAAGATGATATCTTGACTGTTCTTCCAAAAATCCTGTTTCAGTTAAATAAAAAGCAGACGTTCTTTCACATGTTTCTCTTTACTGCTTTTGCTTAGCTCTTTAATCTTGGCAAGTTATAAAATTTCTACCCCAGTTTATACATCGAGATTCAGTTTCTATTATCAGTCTTTTTTGCTTGTGGAGGTGAGGAAGGATGTTGTTAGAAATTTTCATTTTCATTTCCTGTCTCTTTCCTTTTCGGTTTTCTCTTTTTATTTATTCTAAGCTGAGTATTTTAAGCAGGCTCATCTACCTTTGGTCCTTTATCCTGAGCCTGTGCCTGGCATTGGCTGGCCAGAAGAATTGGATGTTATTTTTCAAAAGCTTAGTACAGATTTTGATATCTTGTTGCAGGTTTTGGTCCTCAGAATGACTGAGGCCAGTGTTTAGGGATAATTCAGGTGGCTTTGACTACTGCTTGCCAACTCATTACTTTACTAAGCATTGAGTCATATTTTAGATTAAATGTGGTTAATTTTTTCCATTCAATTCTTAAAACCTTACACACTGAGTTAGATATGTGGCTTAAGTTTAAACTGTGTTTGCCATCAGTGGGGTTCCTGGATTATTGTCCAGTATGAACTTGGACAGTCCAAAGATTTATTTGACAGCAATATGCTCCGCTTTTGAAATTAAATAACAGAGCTAGTATTCAAAATAACTTTTTTAACATACCAGTTTTGATCTTTGATCAACATATCAGTTTTGATTAACTCCCTGAAAAGACATGTAATTTCAACATTATCTGTATGATAAGTGAAGCACCTGTGTTGCCTTAAGTCTATTAGAGACTTTCTTAGCTTAAAAATCCTCATTAGTGACAAGGAAATAATATTGCCTACCTTCAAGGGCCACTATGAGTGATAAATAAAATCATACATTCCTTTGTTCATTCAACAAGTACTTATTAAGCATCTACAGTATACAGGCACTGTACTAGACATTGGGGATGTGACAGAGAACAAAACCAAGTCCTATCCTGCATGAAGCTTATATTCCACTTAATATTTGTAAAGCACATTATAGGTGCTCAATAAATGATAGCTCGAATTGTTGCTATCCAAAATTTGTATAAAACTTGTGATCTAAAATATGTTGTTACATTATTTAACTTTACATATTTTGAATTTGAATGAAAGTCGAGGTGATGAAGAATTTCTGTAGATATATTTGCACATTAATTTTAAGGTTCTCAGGCAGTGATTCTCAGCTCTGCCTGCGCATTAGAATGACCTGGGGAACTTTTAGAAAACTACAGTACCGGTGTCAGGAGGCTGCCATCAGAGATTCTGATATAATTGGTCTAGGCGGGGACTCAGACCCTGGTATTTTTTAAAAAGCTCCTAATGTGATTCTAATGGGCAGCTGTGGTTGAGACTTACTACTTTAAAGGGAGGAATATTTTATGGGTATTTACACATTATGGTTAATGATAGATTCACTATTTATATATCAAGATATATAGGTTGATGTGAGAAAGGAGCTATACCATTAGCTATGGATTGAACAATTTCAATGATACGTTTCAGAAAAAAATATGTGGCTTCAGAGAACCAGGATATGTGGACTGTAGGCATGACTGCCACAGAGCATCTGTGTCACCTTAGATAAGTCACTTTACCATGCAGACCTCAGTATTCTCATCTTTAAACTGAGGGATTTGGTTAGATGCAGTGAGGGTGCCTGCTAGTACTAGTGTTTTGCTGTGCTGTAATATATTGATTTAAGGCCCCAGTATATGAATTATCTGTTACCAGAATGGTTTCCTGGCCTGCTGCCTTATTCCCTCCCTTCCCCATAACTAATCAAACTAGTGGTAGACATCCAACCAGAGCCTGCCAGGCCATCAGCTGGCTAACACACAGACAGCTAACTCACTCTTGAGAGAGCCTGAGTAAAGTTACAAACATTATTATAGTGCATGAAGCATAGAAAGATGAGGAAGGGGTGGGAGAGCTTGATGATCACCTTGGACCATGTGTTAGCTGAGGCCAACTGTGTGGAGAGACTAACTAGCGTAGGTGTGCAAGGCGAGGCACCGACTTCATGCGAATGCAACTAGATGACCCTTGAGAGAGATGACGAGAGCTTTGTCTTTGACCTCGTCCTGGTACCAGTCCCCAGGGCCTCAGGGTATTTAATTCCTGCCCTGGGCAACTGTGATAGTGCCTGCTGTTTCCTTATCATTCTCCTTCCTTGTTCTCCCTTCAGGGGATTTCTGTCCTTTGCAACCCCAAAGGCTTTGAGTAGAACATGAGGTTAGTAGAAACTTTTGAGTAACAAATGGGGCAATAATAAAAATAGAAATGGGGTGGAGAATAAGCAAAATAGTGTGATGTGGTGGAAAGAATGAAGATAGTAAGTTACAGTCTTAGCTCTGTCCCAGAATAGCTCAGTGACCTTATCCAAGGTGCTTGACACTTCCAGGTTTGTCTAAAATGGGAATGGTACAATCTCTTAGGAATGGCGTAATGAAAAATTAGATTACAGTTGTAGAAATGCTTTGAAAAGGTACAGGGGCATGTCAGTGAGGGGATTGCCTTGTGAACAGGTATTTGCAGAATGCAAGTTTTGAGATGTTTGCTCTCAGAGACAGAGATAGTAGAGAAGAGAGGCTGAGTTACAAGATATACCTGAAAGACCAAGTTTTTTTTGTGTGTGAGGAGGTCAGCCCTATGCTAACATCTGCCAATCCTCCTCTTTTTTTTGCTGGGGAAGACTGGCCCTGGGCTAACATCCGTGCCCATTTTCCTCCACTTCACATGGGCTGCCGCCACAGCATGGCTTGCCAAGCAGTGCGTTGGTGCGCGCCCGGGATGCGAACCAGCGAACCCCGGGCCGCTGCAGCGGAGCGCGTGCACCTAACCGCTTGCGCCACCGGGCCGGCCCGTGAAAGACCAAGTTTTTAAGTGTTGATTTAACTCTAAACGGAATATTTCTTTACTTCTCTCAATTTTTAATTTTCATAGCTTGAGTTTTCTCAATGGTTATTATTTCATTCTCAAGATTTCTAATTACTTGATGCCTAAATTGTCACATAGAGTTCTTCTAATATATATTTTTAGATATAGTTCAGTTTTTTTAATGAAAATATGAGTAACAGAGTTCTGTGTGTCATGAGTTAATGATAAAGTTATTGTTTTTCTTTCTCTGGGTTCAGTGAAGAGCAAGCGTTGGGTCACGCATGCAAACGATTTGGTTTCCTTCTTGTCCTCAGTTGGCACATCCTAAAATCATTTTGTTGTCTCCCACTCAGTGGGTTGGGCAGACAATGGGAAAAGTTTATGACTGGAATAGTGAGGGTGTCAAGAGTTCAGGACTGAGGGAAACTGGCCCTGCAGTGAACATGTTTAGCATGTGGATACCAGTAAGCCTGACTCAGACAAGATTTTCTCTTCCTTCTGCATTACTCTTGAAGGTAACTTTTCATTGACATGGTCGAGTAACTAAGAAAGATAAGGTAAAAAAGAAGGAGGATTGGGTCAGTCAGTAGGTATAATGTGTACGAAATCTTTCCTATCATTTATGCATTTATTTTCATCAGGTGGAATAATTCTCCTCCTGGAAGTGCTTTTACATTTCCCATTATATTTTGGCATTAATATCATTCCCTTTCTCAGAGCCACTTAACAAATTACTTTATGTCAGAGGCAAAAGTGCAAGGATTTTTGATAGATTTTACTGCTGGAAAGACCTAGGTCATTTTTCCTTGCATTCCAAATTTCTTTCTGTTGCTTTAGTGGAAAAGGAAGATCATCAAAGGCTGCTCGTAGATCTGACATAGGACCATAAGTTTCTTAAATCATTAGCAGCTTTTATGGAGTTACCTAGCTGCCAAATGTTTGAGATTTCTTTGAAAGGTGTGAAGTTTATTATTTCCACTGAAGTCTGAATGAAGTATGCAATACTGTTCTTTTTTTAACCTTACTGACAAGTTGATTAGAGTTTATGGAATTAAGTGGAAAATCAGTAATTTTCAGAGGGTGACTTTGTTTTGCTTTTTTTTTGATTGGTGTTATGAACAAGAAGTGAAAATACTTAAGGATCATAGATAAAAATCTGTAATAGAGCACTGAAAGAGGATTGCTAATCCATTATTTTCTAGGGGCCCGTTAAGAACTACAGAAACTTAATAGAGGGCTACTAGTGCTTAATTTAAGTGTCCCTGAAAGATATGAGATGCTTTTCAACATTATGGTTGATTGTTGTTTCATCTGACTTTCTGTCCCTTGGGAAAATAGTGTATTATTGGCTCATGGAAACTGGGAAAAGAGTTACATACCATTGGTCAGGTCGTTGTGTGACTTGGCAGCTT